TTTATTTCGATGTCTGGCGGTCACTGATCTTTGCGTTGGGCTTTTTATACAACCAGTTTATGCAACCGAGATTATGTCTCGTATAATCAAGATCAACATGAATACCTTGTTAACAAAAAGTCTCAGAAGTGCTTCTGCTTGGATTTTGTGCGGAGTATCTGCTTTAACATCGACTGGGATTGGTGTGGACAGACTTCTCGCCCTCTCGTTGGGACTGAGATACAGACATGTCGTAACATTAAGGCGAGTTCGTGTAGCTATGATTTGTTTTTGGTTGATTGGTGCTTCATGTGGAGCGATGTGGGTGATGTGGAGAGAGGATATTTTCTTTAAAGTATCTTCTTTTCTCATGTCACTCGGTCTGTTAATTGCGATATTCTGTTACACAAGAATCTACCTCAAACTAAGGTATTATAAAACCCAAGTACAAGACCGTGTCCTCCAAGGACAAACGAACGGAGGAATGATTCCACTTAACATAGCAAGATACAGAAAGTCAGTATCTAGCATTTTGTGGTTGCAGTTGGCATTAGTTGCCTGCTATGCTCCTTGGGGTATTGTAATTGTGCTTTATTTGAACGATATAGAAAATGATGTGGCATGGCTGGCTACAGAGACTCTGATCTACTTAAACTCATCTTTAAACCCGATCCTGTATTGTTGGAAGATCAGAGAAGTAAGGCGAGCAGTAATAGGTATTATCAGAGAGCGTAACTGTTCTTAAAATATTTAACACTTCTTAGAAGTGGTTGAAAAAAATTGAGAAACAACCATGATTTATCAGAGGTTGTTAGATTGCCTGGATACCGCTAAGATCACTTTGTTTGGTTCATGTTTCAACCAATAGTAGCTCACACATAGTTCACATACATATTTAGACAAAATCCTGTAAGAAGCGCGGATTAAAAGCTCTCGTGCTATTTAACAGTTAGATTACGAGCTCGAGATTGTACGCCGAAGGTCGAATTATCTACCACCTTACAGAAATCGAGAGCGTACAATCTAATGGCCAACTCCTCCTGCAGGGAATCATGGTAGTTGTATTCATCAAAACAAATATCCAGTCCAAAATGATGAATACAACTACTATGATTTCCTGCAGGCACGTTTCAAAGAGAGAGTTTGCCATTGTTTTGGTCGAATTCCAACTAAATTTCTTTGAAATAGTAATTTCCGATTATTCTCCTATTATTAAGTAAAACTTCACGCTTCAGCTAAATCCCTTGCGGACTGAATCGCAGCTGCGGCAGCTGTACACTGACACTCATCAATTCATTCAATAATTTTTGGACTTTTTGGGCTAATATTTGTCTTATAAAACACGAAATGTCCGCGTCCGCGGGAAACTGTCATTAAGGAATTGAAAAGCTCTGTTATTTTTTATAAAAAACACGGAAAATGTTGCCTATTGTCCAATTTTTTAAATGTTCTTTTCGTCAAACATACGAATAGGAGCAGATGAGGCCGATGTCAAGGGATTTGGAAAATAGACTTATTTCCATCGTTAAAATGATTAAAAGTTGTTTACAGCCGTATTATCCATGAATAGACTCTACCAGGCTTGACCCCTATTAAATATATCACTGAAACGTAAATTGGAGTGTCCTTTCCTTAAACCGTGTTAAGACGATAGATTTGATATGGCTGATGCTATTCTTTCGGTCTACCAACTGATCTTTTTT